AGATGAACTATAGATGTGTTTGGGTGCAGGCACTGACAGTTCCAAATTGATTTCTTGTTCATTACGTTCTCTGGACAGTTGACAGATGTGTAAATCTCCCGCAATAGGTGAAGATAAAGCTATATATTCATTTTGACGTATACGGAATGTATCCATCATAAGCGGAGCATAACGAAGTTGATGGGACCAACGACATATTGAACCATAAGTGTCACTAAATGAAAATTTCTTTAGGTGTCTAATATCCATGCATTGTAGCTTATGATTTGTGGCAACATAGAATAAATTATTAAAATCACTTGGCAGTAGAGCAGAAATGTGATCACACATCAAACTGTCGGTAGCTGAGGTAACGTCACTTAACCATTGATCTGGTGTGGTGCGTATATCGATCATAAAAAATTGTTTTTGATTAGCATACATAAATGTATTTTCTCGCCAGGGTTTAATGGTGTTCCATGAAATATCTGTAGATTTTGGTGCAATTTCATATAGTTTTACTAAAGCCGGCGCAGTAGTATTTAAATCATACAAACGTACATGCTGTTTCATAGTTGTTATAAGAAATGTGTTAATATTGTGCTGCGATTGGGCAAAACTAATAAATGGCGTTGTCTTGGTGCGAAATTGTGTAACCGTTTTAATTTGTCTATTATCATTGAGATAGTTAAAAGTTATTAGATTTCGTTGACGTGCTATATAACAATTTGACCGACTAGAGTCGTGTGATGTTAGAAGTGGTTGAATTTCAAATATTTCACAATTTTCCTTTGATTGTTGAGAGGCAATGTTTTGCAGGGAATAGGTATCGATATCATCTTGTACATCAGGAAATTCACTGACCACTAGAAATATATTAAACAAACGCTGTATTTTAACTAAACTAATGGTTAAATTTTTTAAATTTTTCTTCCATGGATAGCTGTTTGTACATTTGATTTTCTAGTTTAAACGTTATGAGCAAATTTTAAATTTACACAAAATCCGAGCAAAAAATCATAATTATTCGAATAGGCTAGTAATATATATCGTTTGAAAGCTTTTCGAGTCTTTAAAAGTCTGTAACTCTTAATCCAAATAAGAGCAATTTGTTCTTTACAAATCAAAATAAATAAAAAAAAGATTTTATACAATTGGTAAATTCGAATACATATTTGAGCCTTTATCGTCATAAGTATGAAAAAACTTACTCATTTTCCGCAACTGTTCGCCTCCAGCATGTACAACATGTTCCTTATTTGCTAAATGATTCAAATTACCACCCGTATAATAATAATCATAACTGCTTTGGAAAAATTGATCCGGATTTAAATATAAACGCTCAGCAATGTCAAATAACGTAGAATGATAATAACCATTTTTGCCACTACTCCTTATGGCTTTATTACCTTTTAATAAAAAGAAAAATTAATATAAAATCTTCCATTTAAAGTTGTACTTACTCTTCATTGCTGTCTTATATCTAGTCCGGCTATGTCTCATACGTGTATTATAGAATTCAAAATTCATTGGTCTCCTATAGCAAAGATCATTTTTTTCACACATCTTATCGGCCACAAATATGGGCCGTGGTGCATTAAAGGCACATTGCGGATAGTTCGTTAACATATCAATATTTTCTTGTGGCCACATGCCCACATTGAAGGCGGGGAAATCACTATGATCAACATGAAAAAGTAAACCTTTGGCATTATGCAGTAGTAAACGTTCAACTTCATTATTTTTGTTGGCTCTTAAATATTGCATGCGTTTTATGGGTTTCTTGTCTGGTTCATCCTCATCTTCGCCCTCTACATTGCCAGAAAGCCGTGAGGTATCTTCTGTATACATAGTTTTTCTCCGACATTTTGCAGCTTTTTCCAAATGATGTTTTAGTACTCTTTTGGGCATTTTTCAGTCAGAAAAATTTTTAAATAACTCTTTTATTTATTAAACTCAATTACAATTTCAAAAACGTTGTTGTTAAAGCAATACAAGTCAGAGCCCAGCGCCGACAAATATTAACGGCGGCGGCGACTGACACTAAATATGTCGGCAGCGGCTTAAAATCGACTGTAAGCCGGCTAAGTTTTCAACTACGTTTAGTTTTTAATTTTTCAACGATTTTAAATAAAAACGGAATCCGAGAGATCAGAATGTGGGATTTTGGAAGCAAATATATTGTTTATAACAACAAAACAGAGCAAGCTCAAAAGTTGCGTGAGAAATTATGCAGGGATGAATAAAAAATTCTTAAAAATTAAAAACAAATCCTTTCTCCAAGTTTTACTAGGATCTGCCGATATTTAACCCTATCTTCCATATAAAACATCTTGCAGAAAATCAGTTTCTAAAAAATTTTGCATTAAGAAAATGATCAATAACGTAAAAACAAAGAAAGATATTTTATTTGTTTATTTACTAGCTATACCCAGTGTGCTGTGCTACCCTAAAAGGAATATAAATAAGAAACCCACTTAACGATTTTGATGATTCTAACTACAATGGTTTTCCAGATATACAATTTGTTACATATGGGAGATTCCACGCTAATTATTGCAATTTCACCAATTATTCCGAACGTTAATTAAGATTTTAATTTAATCTATGAAAAATTTGAATAATCTAATAGTTTCCCAGATATACAAAATTTTGTATTTAATTCATATGGGAAGTGCCAAGCCCCTCATTGAAAGTCCGCCCGTTATTCTCTAAATGTTTTTCAGTAAAATTTGAAGATTCTAGCTCTAATAGTTTCTCAGATATACGAATTTTTCTATTTAATTCATATGGGAGCTCCAAGCCCCCCAGACGAAAGTCCGCACTTTTTTCTCCAAAATGTTCAGATAAATATTAAAGTTCTTCGTGCAAAATTTGAAGAATTTCCGCTCCCCTCATTGGTAGTCCCCCAATTTATTACCCAAAATGTTTACATGGATGTTAAAGTTCTTCCAGAACAACATCATTTAAAGGGATCACAAAGAGATCCCTTTAATGATATATACCCTCTATCACCACTGATGGTGGTATATAACTTTGGCATTCCGTGTGTAACACCAAGAAATATTCATCGGAGACCCAACAAAGTATATATATTATGGGTCCTTATCAAATTCTGAGTCGATTTAGCTATGTCCGTCCGTCCGTCTGTCTGTCTGTCTGTGTAAAACACGCTCACGTTAAAACGAAGCAATATAATATAACCAAATTCACCCAAAACATTCATTATTATCCGGTACAGTTTGGTATTGAAAATGAACAAAATCGGTTCACATTGGGAAAAGTTATGAATCAAAATTTAAAACAACCTCGAAAAAAATAAGCATTTTTTACACATTCTGATGTAATTTTCTCAAAAACTATGCAAGATAATTTCATGAAAGTCATCATACATTCGTTTCTACACAAGATATTTATTTCTGCTGAAAATTGCCAGCATCAGTCCATAATTTCATATACCTCCCATACAAAAGTGCATATTCCCGAAAATAAGTTTTTTGTTAATAACTTCCGTCAGAATGTTGATATCTTCACAAAATTTTACAAATTAAAATCTTATGTTAATAGAATTCATTGAGAAAAAAATTTTCTGGATCGGTCCATAATTGGACATAGCTCCAATACAAGGTCCCCTCCCGAAAATCACTTAAACGCGCATAACTCATTACTAAATTAAGATATCCATATAAAATTTGGAATAAGTATTGCTCATATGCACAGAAATATTACTGTGAAAGTTTTTTCCGATCGGTCCATAATTGGTCATAGCTCCCATACAAGGACCCTTCCCGAAAATCACTTAAACGTGCATAACTCATTACTAAATTAAGATATCCATATAAAATTTGGAATAAGTATTACTCATATGCACAGAAATATTACTATGAAATTTTTTTCCGATCGGTCCATAATTGGTCATAGCTCCCATACAAGGTCCCCTCCCGAATATCACTTAAACGCGCATAACTCATTACTAAATTAAGATTTCCAAATAAAATTTGGAATAAGTATTGCTCATATGCACAGAAATATTGCTATGAAATTTTTTTCCGATCGGTTCATAATTGGTCATAGCTCCCATACAAGGACCCTCCCCGAAAATCACTTAAACGTGCATAACTCATTACTAAAATAAGATATCCATATAATGGAATAAATATTACTCATATGCACAGAAATATTACTGTGCAATTTTTTTCCGATCGGTCCATAATTGGTCATAGCTCCCATACAAGGTCCCCTCCCGAAAATCACTTAAACGCACATAACACATTACTAAATCAAGATATCCATATAAAATTTGGTACAAGTATTGCTCACATATACAGAAATATTACTATGAAATTTTTTTCCGATCGGTCCATAATTGGTCATAGCTCCCATACAAGGTCCTCTCCCGAAAATCACTTAAACGCACATAACTCATTACAAAATATTGATATATAAATATTTAGCACAAATATTGCTCTTATATACATAAATTACACTATAAAATTGCAATCGGTCCATAATTGGTCATAGCTCACATACAAGGTCCTTTTACGAAAATCTCTTAAACTCACATTACTCATTACCAAATAAAGCTATTGATACAAAATTTGGCACAAATATTAGTTTTGTATACAAAAATTATATTTCAAGATTTTTTCACGATCGGTTCATAACATGAGTGCGGTCGGTCCTATACATGTTTCCCTTCAGAAAATCACATAAATACTCATAACTTATTACAAAATTAAATAAATCTTGGGATTTTTTCTATTTAAGACATGAGAAAACTTATTTCTACAAATATTTGATCAATTAGAAAAGTATTAATATAAAAGTAGCTGGTGGAGGGTATTTAAGATTCGGCTCAGCCGAATATAGCACTCTAACTTGTTTTATAATTACATTTTCAGTACAGCCCACATTCAACCAGGCCCAGAAACATTTTTTGTATGTTTTGAACACCTTCTAAAAGTCTGACCACCCTATTTTAAGTGCTACCAAGTTCGTATAAAAAATTGTCAGCTGTTTGTTAGTGTGTTTTCGTTTTGGTGACAGCAACATCGAGAAATGTTAAATAATTTCCGAAATTATTAAAAATATCAATTAAAACTAATTTTTTTTATAACCCAAAACATACCAATATGCGCTTAATACCTTTCGGTTCGCGTATAGCTAGCATAGGCTCGAAAATTAATAACACATTCACCCTGCCGGAACGTTTTAAAGGTACGGTTGTTGAAAAATGGGCCAACTACTGGAAAGGTCTTCTCACCGACTACAAAGATGTAGCCGTGGGTTTGGTCAAAGAATCGAAGGAAAGACCACGTAAAGCACTGTTCTATGCCATCAGCGGCTATGGTCTATATCATTGTGCCCAACGCAATCCAGACGAGGAAGATTTCCACAAACAATTTCGTTCAGCGAGTAACGATTTGATAATGGTACATCCTTCACTACAGAATCCTAAGTCAGCAGCTTATATTAGACGTTTACAGGGCGATCTAAATCAAAATCGTTTAAGATTTTTATCTCTGGGTATATGCACAATTTTGTGGGAAGATTTGTACGACAAAGATGATTGCACCTATCCAGCACAATGTGAATATACACAAGTTACCTTCTGGAATTTCCATGAACATATAGTGGATGTGGGATTTTGGAATCAATTCTGGCGTTTAAGATATGAAATGTATAATTTTGATGTTAATTATTTGTGATACGTTTTGCGAAAACCACAATGAGGAGTATAATGTTAATAAGTTTGTTAAATAAATACCTACAATTTTAAAGCGTAAATATCATGATAAAAATATTTTTACCATGGTAAATATTATCAAAATTTTGTGTTTCAATGCAGACAGTATAAATCTATCTATCTATATATTTACCCATCTATCTATCTACCAATCTATGCATCTAAATATATATCTGAAATGAATTTTTAATCTTTCATCTTTAGAGAGTAAAATACTTAAATATTTTAAATTTTTCATTAAAATGCAAATCATTTAATATTATCAAACAAACAATTATCAAAGTTTAAAAAAATTAGCAACGAATTCTTGTACCAGCAATAATCTTTCTTATTAAGAGTGTCGTTGAGGAAGTCATGGTGGTACTCTTAAATATGCATTCAAGTTTTTTTACATTCGTAATATCAGTTTTTCAAAACGAATCATTTCTGACTACGTCATCGACTCATAATAAAGCGGAATATCAAATTATCTAACGACTCTCATAATAAGACGGAATATAAAATTGTTTAACCAAAACTTTTTCACAAATTCAATTCAGTTTGCTGCCTTTTTTGTTGTGAATAAATTCCCCCTTGAACTTCTCACGCATAGCCTCCTTATCCACTATCTTTGGCTTATGAACTTTAAAGTATTCCTCCAGCATAGCTTCACATTCGGGAATTTTATCGATATCGCATATTTTACCCTGAAAACTTCCCTCCTTTCCATTACCCTTACCATCTAAGATTGTAATAAACTTGGGTCCAAAATGTTGCACAAACTCCGCATCGCCACGCAATACCATATGACCTTTGCCAGGTTGATTACCAGGTTGTTCTGGTTCGGAAACAGTAATGAAATATAACGATACTTCAACCGGCGCATGTCTTAAGAAAGTATTAATAAAGTCTGGTTCTACACCATCTCTGCGATGTAAACTATAGTATTTTGGTAAAGGTCTAGGCATATTTTCTAATTTTTCAGCTTCAGCAGTAGCGAAATCTTTCAAAAGCTTTTGAAAAGATTTCTTTACCGCTTTCACATTATTTTGTATTTTTTGTATTAGCTCCAAATGTTGTTGTGGTCCACCTCTAAAAGTAAAGGGCAATGAACAGAAAAAATATTTACTATTGGCATTAAAAGTAATAGAAAATTGATTCCACTTACTTTAAAATCAAATTAAGTTGTTGTTCTCTTTGGAAGGATTCTCCTAAACGTTTCAGGACACGTTGACCCACCACAAAATGGACAATGACACTGTTCTTACTTTTCTCAGCATATAAAAGTTTAATGCCTTGCAATTGAAACAAGTTGCTGACATGCGTTCCACAACACATATTGTGACGTTGGCCTTCTATGCATATTACACGCACAGGACCTTGCCAATCTTTGGGTAAACCGCGTGGAGCTCTAACACCGTCCATCTTTAAAAAAGAGAGTTACATCTTTTTTTAATATCTATGTTTCAAAATTCGATGAAACATGCCTTAATTATAATACATGTTTTAAAATACTAACCTCTAATAACGTTTCCGGATCCAAAACGACCACATTGACCTCTTTTCCCTCTCTTATAATATTATTAGCTTTTTCCTCAATTAAATCCAGCGATTCGCGGCTAATTAAATGTTTAGTATTAAGTTCAATGTATGACGTCTCAGTTCCCAACCACCAGGAGGTGGTATCATAATTAAATTCTTTCTCAAATAATTCAGTAATTAAGTGTTGACCCGAATGTTGTTGCATGTGATCAAGTCTGCGATCCCAATCAATACATTGTTTAACAACAGTACCCGCTTCAAAACCGCTCTCTGATTCTATAAAGTGGACAGCATCATTGCCCTTGCGTATAACACTACGTACAGGCAAATCATTGATGGTGCCGTAATCACATGGTTGACCGCCACCTTCAGGAAATAGTATAGTATCCTCACAGATAACATTGTAACCCTGTAATTCTTTTGTTTCGCTGGAGCCAGGTGGGCTCCATTTCAATAAGCCAAATTCACATGAAACCACTTTGGTGGTAAACTGTAATTATAAATGGGGATTATTAAATTTCACGTATTTCATTATTGATCTCATTCAATTTTATTACTTCTTTTAAAAAACTATCTTCTTGACATTTAAAAACCATTTTGTATATTTATAATAAATAAATTGTATGGTTAATTATGTAAAATGCAAAAAAGTTGGCAAATTTACAAAATTTTGTTGTAACAAAATACAAAAACTCTACTCTCCTTCGGGAATGTAAACAACTGACAGCTGATCAGTAGCCGGTTGAAATAAAATTTGGCAGCACTTTTAGTAAATGTCTAATTAATTCATAAAGCAAGTGACTGTTATTTTAACCAAAGTTGAAATATTTTTATTAGACATAAATTTTGAATTACAAATTTTTTTATATAAATATTAAGAAAATGGAATGTGTATTTTGCTGGCATTATAATTCCGCATATCCTCAAGATGTTATATTAAAGAATTCTAAATATTGTAAATTATATTCTCAGCAAGAAAAGAAGTCTAAGAAACCCATAGAAAATTCTGAAAATTGCAAAACTTTATATACCAAATGCGATTATTATTTGGAACGATGGGTACATGAAAATATTATTGAATTAGAAAAACTGTTCAAAGATCACGAAAAATTAGTAAAGCATGAAATGGAACTACAACAAGGAGTAATAAATGACATGTGGATTCAATCTCAAAGATATTTAATTTTAACAAGGTAAATGAATAAAAACTCACAAGTTAAAAATAATCTGTTTATATTTTAAAAGCGGTGTTTGTGTTAAAACCTATCCCGAAATTGTATCTCTACCTACCGAAAAACGGGTCTTATACGGATTTCATATGAATTTAAGAAAAATAAATGTATCAAAGTAAGCAGTTTTAAATATTTGTATTCTACAGACGTGATATAATAAACATAATAATCTTTCTAGTTCTCATTTAGCCCTGTCTTTGGAAGCTATAAGATCTTCTCAAGCTCAGTTAAATTACCGCTGTGAACAACTTGATGTGACAATAGAAAGTCCTTTTATGAAGGGTTCTTATGCATTGAAATCTTTAACATATATTCGCAATATTTTAAATGATTTATTTCAATATTTTTATACAAATGTATGTAAACTGAAAAGTTGGGCTTTACTTCTAGATCCAGCAGATTCTGTGGCCATAGAAGATTATATAAATTTGTTGAAATCAAACAACGAATGTGATTTAATGGAAAACTTAAAGAATTGCTCATGTTTGCGTACAAAGCGCCGGGAATGTATTAAATGTCATAAGCGTTGTTAGATGGGATTAGAAAAAAATAAGTTTAGTTATGTTAGGATTTTTTGAAAATAAATAAATTTAAATTACTTCTCTATTTTGTTTTAAAATGTACGTAAACGTATAAAATTATTTTAAAAAGTAATAATAATACTTATGATTAAGTTTATTAATCATAAATTTTTTCTTAGTTTAAAAGTTTCGTTAACCGTTTTTTTTTTAAAAGTAAACAATATTGTTTGGCTGAAACTTGGCAGCACTACAAGCTTGACAGCACTGTAAAACTATAACCCCAAAAATGCAATCAAAACAAACATAAACAACCCATGATTTTTATTCTATATATTTGATAAATTGACATTTTTTAAAGAAATTTATAAAAAACTACCTAAAAATGGCCACAGAAAGCATTGAAGAAAAAAATCAACAGCAAATCGAGGAAGAAATATTAAGGCAATTATTGGTATTAGAAAGAGAATTTCGGGAGCATAATGCATTAACCAAGAAAGAACTTCAATTACAAAAGGAACTGGTTGGCAGAATATGGATCTTAGCACAAAGATATATACTGTTAGAGAGGTAAGAGGAATATAAAGTTAGAAATGTAAAAGAAAATATTCCTGTACAATTGTACTTTCAGCACGGGTACTTGTTGCCGCTACCCGGAAATTTATACCGGCCCCGCAGAAGACACCCTATTGCAGGAATTTACCGAAAAATTAAAACAAATAAGAAGTTCAAAGTATGTTGTTATTTCGTAACTCCTATAATTTTTATAACATCCATGGTATTTCCCCTAGTTGTCTTATCAGTAATTCTTTAGATGAGCTGCGGAAATCCTGTCTGGTCTTTAACAACCTATGCTCTCAACTCGATATGAAAACTGAAAGTTCTCTAATAACTGGTGATGCTTTCCATAAACCTATAACATATTTCATTGAATTAATTAGCGATCTATTTAAATATTTCCACGCCTGGTTGCTGAAACTAAAATATTCATCGCAACAGTTTGATCCAGTTAAAATTGAGAGCATAGAAAACTATAAAAAACAAATTGAAATATCTGAAGATTTTGAGGAATATTTAAATGTAGGTTTGGCATATTGCAAGTGTTTGCGGAAAAAAACAACTTGCTGAATAAGGTGCAACTTATTTGTCCAGAATTCGTAAATGGCAGAAATCTATCACAATCATATTCTTTTTTACTTTTAATATCTTGTAAATTCTCCTTTACCTTTAGTTTTTAATAAAAAAAAAAAAATAGTCACTTTAGCACAAACACACAAATTCTTTTTAATTTAACAAGCCTTCATAAGGCCTTAAATTTATTTTTTCAAATATTCACAGCAATTTTTTCTGCAATTTAATTTTTACAAATTTAATCCACAAAGATAAAGCACACAATTTCCTTAAACGTCATTTGGGTGGCATGCGAATATCTAAAAAAAAAAACAAAAACAAACTTTAGTCATACAAAACGTACACAAAAAAAATTGCAAATTTGCACAATACCTTTTTGTAAATAAATTTAAAGTCTTAATTCAACTTGTGCAACTCCCCTAAAACATCAATAGTCTTAACGAAGTCTTCTGGCTTCACGTTCAGATTCCAACAATGTCAAAATATCACCTTCACGGACGGGACCCTTAACGTTGCGGATAATTTGACGGTTTTGTTCTCCGAGGAATTCAACCTTAACTTGTGTACATTGACCTTGGGAGCCAGTACGGCCCAAAACTTTGATGACACGTGCCCAAACAACTGGTTTATCCATATTTATTAAATAAAATTTGTGATTTTCTTAAAAAAAAATTCACGTGCGACACACACTCAAAGTGACAGCCGGAAACAGAAAGAACGTATTTTCGTTCATTTTTGGCAAATTTGTTGTTTGTTTCGTTAAGTAGTTCGTTCAGTTTTGTTTATATGATTGTCACCACGCAGGGTTGTAACTATAGGTTTATTCAACAGGGCATCGACAACAGGGTGTTTACAACTGAATGTAAAAAAGAAACAAGCTGCAAATAAAGATTAAATTATTATAAAATTAATCTTTTTTACATACAATTTTTATTGTTTTTTCTTATAGTTATTAGGGTTCTATAAATCGACTTTCGAATAATCGAACAATCGACTTTTTGTCGAAAAAAGTCGAAAAATCGAAGCCGACTATTTTGTACCAAAAAAGTCGATAACTCGACTATCGTCTATGAAAAAAGTCGACTTTGTAAATATAAGTCGAAAAAAGTCGAAAAAAGTCAATAAGTCGACAAAAGTCGAAAAATTGAAAAAAGTCAAAAACTCGAAAATAGTAGAAAAAAGTGAAAAATAGTCGAAAGTTTTTAAAAAAAGGAAAAAAGTCAAAAACTCTAGAATAGTCGAAAAAAACTCGAAAAAAGTAAAAAAAATAGTCGAAAATAGTCAAAAAGTCGAAAAAAGTGAAAAGTCGACTTTTTATAAAGCACTTAAAGTCGAAAAGTCTAAAAGTCGACTTTAAATTAAATGAAAAAAGTCGAATAGTCGATAAAATGCAAAAAATCGAAAAGTCGACTTTTCGTTTCAACTATAACACCCTAATAGTTATGAAGGTTTATTCAAAAGCTATGTATATATAAAGTTAAAAATCTCGAAATTGGCTTGCTCAATTGTAAAATTAATATGTTATGAGAGGTGGTGGCCTTTCAAATTATAAATATTATATAATATTGTATGAGAAAAGCCAAAAAGTCTATAAAAGTGACTTAAGTAAATCATACAAGAACAAATATATGCATTTCCTAAATATTATACATACATAATAAACTTGCATTTGCTACCTTTAATATGGTGTTAACCCTTTAAATGCCAATAATATGTTTATCTAGTTGAATGTAATTATATTTAAATAAAATCAATTTTTAATTTGCTATGCTACTCAGAAAGTGATTTTGAGCCTATTGGTATACTTTTAATTTGGTGTAGGATCAATATTCAATATCAATATTAATTAAATATAAACATCAGCACAAACGTTTATAGTGGTGAAGGGTATAAATGTCCTCTATTATAAATTCTCACTTAATATTATTATTATTTTTGTTTTTTTGCAGGAAAATCAAAAAAGTACTAGTTGGAAAACGAAAAAGTACCAGAAATTTCTCTATTATAGATTTTCATTCAATTGCAGTTGAAGAACAAAAAGTACCAAAATTTTCACTTTTATATGTCTGACTATATGTTTCTAAGTTAAATATTGCAGAAAAATCAAAAAGTCCACTTTTATGGATTTTCATGCATGTTTACTTTTATGTCTCTAACCGCCTTTTTCACCAAGTTCAGTTATAATTTAACTGTTACTTTTATTGCAAGTTAGCATATTTTCTTTTTCACCAAATTTAACTATAGAGTTGGAGTTAAATTTAACTGGAAAAAATGTTTCAGTTATAGACTTAACTGACAGAAAAATCAATGGGCAATTTCATGTGACCCAACTCAAAAAATCGATTTTGAAGAAATTTGCACTATTCAGCCTATCGGTTAAGAACTGCCGGAGTCAAAAGTTGGACAGTTTGGTCATACATCGGCTTTGACACGAAATTACCCTAATATATTTGTTATTAAAAATTGATTTACATTTATGGAACACATTTATTGGGCCATTTACTAAAATAAATTAATTAAGGATAGTGTTCAGAGATGAGCACATAAGGGGTTTTATTAATTACATTCTCCTGAACATACATAATAATAATAAAAATAATGAATTATTTTTTGATTCAGTTACATCTTTCAGTTACATACCGCGTATTTGTCAAATAGCCAGTAGAATTTAATTTCCCTCATGGACAAATCTAATATTAATTGATTTTTGTTGATCTTATTTAATGCAAAAATTAAAAATTTATTCAAAATAATACGTTTGTCGTTTTTTTTTTCCGAAAATGTCAGTAAAGAGTTACCTACATGAAACAATAATTCTTATGTTATCTAACCGAAGGATGATGAAAACGAAATTTTTAACTTACAGTTAAATATTTGCCGTTAACCAACCTTTAACTACTAGATATAATTCGATGAATTTTGTTTTATTATTTATTGTCATGTTTCCACCACGGGCTTTTGACCAAAACGAGTTGAAACCATGTAGATTTCCTATACTACAGTTATGACAAATTAAAATCTTCTTAAACTACTAGATTTGATTTAAAACGTTTTGAAAATTATTTTTTTTTTCGAAAAATAAGAAATAACAATTTTTTAGTGTAGTTTATTAAATTTATTGTCGAAATCACAATAAATTGATTCAATTTGTTAAAATATCAAAAACGAGTAATGTCAGTGGAAACAAGAATGATAAACTAAAGATTATGCCTAGTGCATGATTTACCGTTAGATGACGCATGTAGTTGTTCAAATACCTATAACATTAAAAAATATAAAACGATAAGTGTGGTGAAGTGCGGTAAAAAGGATCCAGAACATAGAAAAACGAAAACAAATTTTAGAGGAAAAAACATAAACATTTAGTGAACAGTGGACAAATGTAATCAAAATTAAAATCCAAAAACGAGTGAAAAATTGTGAAAAAAATTTTCATTGTGCCTTTTTTATATATATTTTTTACTTTTTAGTATTTAAAATATTTTTAAATATTTTTTACAAAAGAAATTGCAATAAAAAAAATAAATTTATGAGAAGAATGGTTGCTATCTATAAATTTTTCGATAAAAATAATAAATTGTCCCACTGTTATATTTATAGCTGAAAAATATTAACCAATAGGAAAACATTTTCTTAATATTAGGACTTGGTATATATGGAATAAAAGTAGCATTACAAAATTGTTCTCGAGAAGATATTTCAAACATTTATGGTTAGAAATATTTTATGTCACAGATATAACATTTAAATATCCTATCAGAAAACAATTGTCCACAAAATTTTTTAAAAAAATATATTCCAGAGAATTCTCAGGAAAATTTCCTCCTTATAAACCCTAGTATAGGGCCAATATAGCGGTGTCGGGAAATATTAAACTAATTCAAAGTTCACTTTAAAGAGTTCACAAAAAAGTTTATAAATAATTCTATTATTGTTTTAAAAATTGAATTACATATGTTCAGAAAATAACTTAAAATTTACGTTTTTTATTTGAAATTCGGCAAATAATAATAATATAAAACATCTCATTTTCAATTGATAATATGTGTATGTGTAGTAGATTTTATGTATCAAATATGATTTGTTTCCACTAAACATTTTTGTCTACTTAAACGTTACAATATGTACTTTTTGGATATATTGCGACTTTTTTATAACTTCTTAAGAAGTTTTTCTACTATACAATAGTTCTTATTGTCGAGTGTATATCCAAACCCAATCCCACTGTACTTAAATACTTTACAAACATCAGCACAAACGCATAATAATTTTCCTTAATATAGTGGTATAAAATTTGTTAAATTCATTAACATATTTAATGCATTTATCGCAGGCCTGTTGGAAAGTAATCCTTTCGAAATCCAAAACTATTACATATATGAAACACCCATTTGAAAATGAAAGACAATTTAACAATTTTGCTTCCGAACGCTTCCTAAAATAATTGACAAACCCCAATTTGACGTCTCTGACACGTAATACGATTTCGTATCAAATCAAACAACAACAACCAAACTTCGTTTTGTATTTTCTCTTTACACATTCGGTTTTCATACGTTTTTCTGATTTCGCTGCCGTCACATCATAAACGGGGAGACTGTTAACGGGCCGCGAATTATTTTTTTGTTTTTGAAAATTTACTGTTTTTAATTAGAAATTAAATAAACATAAAATGAAAAATTATATGCTAATATTTTTGTTGGTGTTGCCCACCATTATTTGCACATTTAATGCACGTAAGTTACACAAAAAAATAAATTTTTTGTTAAAAGTGAATTGTTAGAAAAAAAAAACCAAAGTGCAGTGAAAGAGAGTGTGACGTTTTCATAATGTGTTGTCGTCGGCTTTGTTGTTGCCGCAACAAACGACGTATTTTGACGTGGCACAGAAAAACGATGTTATTGAAACTGTAATGGCAAACACTGACATTAATTGAAAGTTTATGTATTTTTATTTGATTTAAGAAATTTTGAATGAAAATTATGTGATTGAAGGCAATTTTTTCATAATTTAGGTCAAGTTCATTGTTAGTAATGAGTTGGCAACAAAACTTTAAAATATTTATAAGCTTTTGAATGAAAATTTCTCTTTTTGCCATTTTTAGCTAACAAATTCTCAGCTTTTGCTGAAGATGCCGTTGAGGAAGACATTGTTGAAGCTGATGGTGAAGATGGTGCTGTAACTGGTGAAGATGTCGAAACGGACGAAGACTCAGACGGAACACAATCAACCTCTCCCTATGCCGATACGATTTTACTGTTCACCAAGCCCACTTACACTCCCGGCCAACAAATGGATTTACCCGGAGGCAAACCCGTTGAATTCTTGATTGGCTTCACCAACAAGGGTCCCAATGACTTTGTTGTTGAAACTGTTGAAGCTTCTTTCCGTTATCCCATGGACTTTAACTACTACATCCAAAACTTCTCTGCTGTTGCCTACAACCGTGAGGTAAAGTCTGGTCTTGAAGCCACCATTTCCTACTCTTTCATGCCTTCTGATCAATTTGCTGGCCGTCCCTTCGGTTTGAACATTGCCATGAACTACCGCGACTCCAACGGTGTCCAATATATGGAATCTGTTTTCAATGAAACTGTTTTGATTTCTGAAGTCGATGAGGGTTTGGATGGTGAAACCTTCTTCTTGTATGTCTTGATGGCCGGTATCGTTGTTTTGTTGTTGGTTGTCGGTCAACAATACTTGTTGGGCTCTTCCGGTAAACGTAAGCGCACCACTAC